CATAACTAAGGTACAAGGCAAGATTAGTTTTGAAAGTTTTTAGTTAGAAGAAAGGTATTAATTTTGATGAAAATTTTTTCACTTGTGGTCAAGATATCTTCAATTCAAGTCGTGCTTGGTTTAGTTGATAGCTTAGATCTTAAAGTGTTGCCTTTTTTTTTTTTTGGTGACTTAGGTGGTATTTGATAAAACTAAAAATTAAATGTTGAATCCGTTAAGTACTTGAATTTCAAGTGTTGAATAATTAAGTACTGAATATATTGTTGACAAGCTATTTGCTATTTATTGAAAATTAAATACGGAATATAATAAAGTTGTTTGATAATTACTCGTTGCTAAATATATTAAGACTATATACATGATAATTTTAACCTTGCAATTATAACATGATATTTTTTTTAACACAAATAAAAATATATACATATATGTGTTTATGTATATAAATAAATAAATAAAAATTCAATAAAAATGATTATTAATAAAAAAATTAAACATGATCTAATATAATATTAATTATCGTACATGTACAAAATAAATAAAATCTCAAATACTAATCAATTCATTTGCAATTTGGCCTCATAAATTAATCATAAATATTTGATCGGCTCATGCTTTGATGAATAAAGATCCGAATTTAATTTGAAGGTATTTAATTATTCTTTTGATAGATGTTTAAGATGTTAAATATATTAAATTTTTTGGATTTGGTATTTAATTAATGATGCTATATGCATCTTTCTAAGAAGATTTTCTTTTTATTTTACGGATATATTTTACGAAGTAAAGCTAAAAAGAAGCGAGAAAAGCATAAAAGAGTAACTCAAATTGAGCTAGTTTGTCAATTTTGATGACCTTATTGCCGTAATCATAAATAAAGATTTTCGATCAAAAAGCAAGAAATTAATGAGATAGATAGACCTTCATAACTATGGTGGTGGGTTCTAAATCAAAATCTCATGACTTTTTCTATCAAAGCTTTACGAGATAGATAGAACATCATAACTCGTGTGATGGGTTTTTGTCCTCGAAAGCAATTTATCGAGTGAGAACAAGATTTGGTGATATTAGCTTCTTCCGGAAGTATATAGGGCATGATGAAAATAGGTAAACGGAACCTATTCCTAGAAACATACCTAATAATTTAGTCATTCTTATTTTTTTTTAAAGATTTTTGTGAAAAAAACCACCATTCTCTCATCCTCCTTATAGGAAAATTAGCCTAAAAAATACTAAAAAAATGATTAAAGGTGTGGCGAGCATTGTTTCGGGATTTTATCTACCTTATTAGAGCATGTCCTTGATTCGGATCGTCGGTTTAGAAAAATTTATCAAAATTTCTTCTTAAATTCTGATGGATGATTATGGAAAAAAGACAAAATGAACTTGTTAATTTAATTCATTGGCGGCATTGATAATGGAGAAGGTCTCCTCTGTTTCGATAATGAGATAGTAGAGATTGTTTTTCAATCGGTTTGTATAGTTAGAGTTATAAGAATATATGAGAGCTCATATTTAAAAGAATTTAAAAATCATTCAATTGAATGTGTTAATAAAAAAGGTTTAAGTTAAAAACTTTAACTTATCTAATTAAGTGAATTTTAATTGAATGTAAATTTTAAATATAAGATTATTTAGATTATCAAATAAACTTTTTATATTAAGTACTACAACTTAATTTTTTAAGCTACTTAAATAGGTTATCAAATATATCCTTAGATGAGAAGATCTACATGGAATAGCCTAAACGAGTTTAAAATGAAAGGAAAAGGGCGGTTAGTTTGTAAGTTAAAAAAAAGTCTCGTATGGGTTGAAGTAAGGTCCAAGATAATGGTGTAAAAATTTCAATTCCTTCATGATGGAGCATGGTTATAGTAGAAATATTTCTAATCACACTATATTTATGAAGAAATTTGGTAATGGTGACTTTACGATCATCTTACTATATATAAATGATATGTTGATTGTTGGCCATGACATTAGGGAGATTTAGAGTTTGAAGGGATATTTGAGTAACGGTTTTGTAATGAAATACTTAAGATTGACAAAACAAATTCTTGGAATGAAGATTACTCTTGACAAAAAGAAATGAAAATTTTGACTATCTTGGGAGCGATATATTCAAAAGGTCCTTGAAAGATCTAACATGAGAAAGTTCATACATGTTCATTTTCCACTTCCAAGCCACTTTAAACTAAATTTCAAATAGTTTCTTTCAAATGTTGAAGAAAGAAATAAGGTGAAAAAGGTTCCTTATCCATTCACAGTTGGTAGCTTGATGATATATGTCATGGTTTACACAAGGTCGGATATAGCTCATGTAGTTGGTATTATGAGTTGATTCCTCTCCAATCATGGTAAAAACACTAGTTAATATTAAAATGAAGGCTAAAGGCACTTTCAATGTTAGTCTATTCTTTGGTGGTGACTTTGATTCTTAAAAGTCCATATCATTGTACTTGATAACTTTTGTAGGGAAAGTAGTGTTATGTCAGTCAAAATTACAAAAAATGTGTTGTTCTATCCACTATAGAAGCTGAATAATTTCTTAAGGAGGCAAATAGTTGTTATGAATGATAAATTTTTTATTTGAGCTTGGACTAGAGCAAGTCCATCTTAGTAAACATCTTATATGAATTTTATGTTGCATTACGATAATTAGAGTATAATCCATCTTATTAAACATCCTACTTTTCATTCTTAATTGAAGCACGCTGAAGTTAGGTACCAATAGATTTGAAATGCTATAGAGATAAAATCCTTTGTTATGGAGAAGATCTATATAGACGAGAATGGATCATATATGATAATTGAGCCTTTACCGAGAGAGAAATTTAAGTTTTACAAAAGACAAGTAAGATTGGTAAAGCCCTCTAAGTGAGTTAGGAGAAGGAGAATTGTTGGGTTGGGTCCCTCCTTGTATAGGGCCCAACACCTATATAAAAAAGAAAAAAAAATATATATATATATAAAACAAAAAAGGAAAAGGTATTTTCCCAAATTAAAGTCATTGTGATGTGACTATATAAAAAGAAATGTTGAATTTTCTATCACATGGTATGCAATAGCCAAAGACAACAACACTATGGACGACAATAAAACAAAGGAGAAAAAGGGAATTTTTGCCGAGCAAAGAGAAAAAAGAAAAAGATGTTCTTCATCCGTATTTTTTTGATCGAATACCGATTTTAAACTCGATAAGATAAAATTTTGATATATCATTTTTTACGATGAGATTTTTAACTTAAACGGTGTTGATTGTTAAGAAGCTTTCATTAGATATTAAAAAAAAAAAAACTAATTGGGTGAGATCTAGCCTTTTTTTTTTTTTTTAATTAATGTTGGAATCCATCCTTTGGATGCCGACTTTGATATTTTGATGTGCATTCTCTAGTAAAGCTTAGGGAAGAACCTCGTTCCTATTATTTGATTTACTAGAAGAGTTTGAATAGACCATGGTCTTGTATTTTTTTTTCCATATTGGAGTTTCCACATAAAAATTTATGTGTTGATCATAATTGTATTTATTTATTTCTATATTAATTATTATTAATTGATTGATACTAATTATAATTACACAAAGAGGGGAAAAAAATTAGAACATGTGTTTTTTTTTTCGGTTTGTATACTTGTCTTTTCCCAACAAACCTTGATATGACCTTAAGAAACTTACTCTCTTACAAAATGAAAATTGATTTCAATGTGTTAAGTTATGGCTTTAAAGACAAGATTGATTGATAGATAAACAACTCGAATATTGTCACACCAGATAATAGAGGGCTATTGTACGTGGAGTCTTAATTCATTCAATAAATAATTATGGCAGCAAAATAAATTTAGAAGTGACATTCACAAAGCTCTATATTCTATCTCTATAGATGATCTAGCAATAATGGGTTGCTTTTTAGTTGATCATGAGATTAGGTTGTAGCTGAATAAACATCACAACCTTTAGCAGAACATCTGTCATCCTATGAACTTGCCCAATCAGCATTTACGTAGGCCTGAAGTTTATTGGTATGAGGAGTGATGAGTAAATGCTTATCTAATGTCTCCTTCGTATATCTCAGCACCCTTCTGCAAGTTTGCCAACGAAAAGTAGTAAGTGCAACCATATACTGATACGACTTGTTAAGAAAATGCAATGTTAGAAATTGTAATTGGTTCTATGTATTGAATCAATTTATTTAATGTGTATCATTCGATAAATTTCATAATCCTGCAACAAGTATTCTTTGATTTTGTTGATCCGTAGTTTTACGAAAAGCATTTAGTGAAATTAAAGAAAAAAATTATTTTATTACGAATATAATAAGGTGAAAAAAGAAACGTATCGTTTGATTATGCACTTTATTTAAAACTGTCAACGACATTACTAACAAAAAGTCTACATTAAAAAAATTAATTTAGTATAAATATTCAATTAATACTCAAGTTAATAAAAAAACATAATTAATGAATTGCTTATAGTACAGGTACGATAGGCATTGTTAACCCTACGTCAAAGAACAAGAATACTCGCATGAGAAAAAGGTCCGACATCGAATGGACAAAATTTTGAGGCAGCGTAGCATTTGTTTGCAGGACTAAACAAGAAAACCTGTAATAAATGAATCCGCATAAATACTTGGACATAGTTTTGTGAGTTAGCCTACTGCAATTTTATAGCCATCTTTTTTTTTTTTAAGAAACACCATCATAATTACACAAACTGAGAGGGCGCGTTTAGGTGAAAAAAAGAAAAACAAATGGCGAATTCAAATTCCCGCTAGAGCTAACTTTTTAAAAGACAACGAACCCTCCAAACGGCTCCCTCTATTCAAAATTCCAAACCCCGCCTATAATAAGTCAAAGAAAACAGAAAACCCTCTCTTCTCCAATTTCCGCCTTCCTATCCTTCCTTTTTAACGGTAATTACCTCCCTTCCCTCCCTCAATTTCTCAAATCCACAGTATTTGCAGTTCCATTCCCTGCATCAGATCTGCAGCCAAAACAAGAAGAAAATGGCGTCGTCTTATTGTGATATTATAGATCCCTCCTTAAGGCATCACGCTTATAGCAGGAAACAGAAATCTCTCGGTCTCCTATGCACCAAGTAAACTAACCCATCTTTCTTTTTATTTCTTTATTCAAAAATCCGTAATTTTTTTCCCCATAATTGATTGGTTTTTATTTATTTATTGTGCAGTTTCTTGACCCTGTATAATCGAGATGACATTGACGTGATTGGACTTGATGATGCCGCTTCTAAATTAGGTTTTTATTTATTTATTTCTGATTTTGATAATTTACTGGTTATTATGATATAGATTTTTATTTTGATTGGGTGGGATTTTGATTTTTTTTTCCTAATGGGTTTGTGATTTGCAGGAGTTGAGAGAAGGCGGATCTATGATATAGTCAATGTTTTGGAGAGTGTTGGGGTGAGATTCTTGATTTCTGATGTTGTGATTTTGATGTTTTTGTGAGATTTCTTATGTGGGGTTTTTTTTTTTTTTTTTTTTAATCTATTGTTTTTAAAGGTTCTGGCAAGAAAAGCAAAGAACAAGTATTCATGGAAGGGATTTGCAGCAGTCCCTAAAGCTTTACAAGAATTAAAGGTAATACAAATAACCCAAAAATTAAAATAAAATTATTTTATGTTTTGTTTTGTATATTGAACATTGATAAGGGTTTATCAAGTGTTGTTTATTTTTCGAAAATTGGACTGATTTTGGGTTGTTGATGATATAATAGGAAGAGGGTTTAAGAGATAATGTCAATACGATTGACAGGCAAAGCAATAATTCTGTAAAAGTAAGTGGATTTTTAAGGATTTATTTATTCTTTCTTCATGAACTTGCTGTGTTTCAATATGGGCTTCTTTCATTCTTTTTTGTTGTTGGGTTTTGGTTAATCTGTATTTTGTGTGTGTTGAATTGTTAGGTTGCAGATGATGATGAGGATGAAGATGATGACTCTGATTCTAATCCTAACACAGGAAGCCAGAATGAAAATTCTGGTATTATCAAATCTACGGCTGCATCAAGATTTGGTAACGTCCTGTCCTTTTTTATGAGCACATCTATACATACGTTTTTTTTCCTTTGTTTTTTTGTGTTAAATCGCCTGTACTCATAAGTTTTTCTCACAGAATCTGCGTATGATTTAGAAAAGCAATTAGTTAACAAACTTACTAAGATCCTTTCAATTTTTTTTTTTTTGTGATGTGTCAAACCGGAACTAGTCCTTTATTTTGTTCAAAATTTTGGGTGCACATTAATTGTCGTCTAGTGGGTCATTAAAGAAATGGTGGCTATAATTACCCATCTACTTTTCTTTACATCTTATAACCAAGCTCCATTATTTTTGTTACAGATCATCGGAGAGAGAAGTCGTTGGGGCTTCTTACTCAGAACTTCGTGAAGCTCTTTGTGTGCTCCAACGTGAGTGAAATCTTGAAAGAGTAATAGATCGTCGATGCTATTATCTGTTACTTTGGTGCTTATGAGCGATTCTTTTTCAGGCAAATCTTATATCGCTCGATGAATCTGCCAAGTTATTACTCGGGGATGGCCACAATTCATCCATTATGAGAAGTAATTTTTCTTTTAACTTTTGTACTTTTGATATGAGCTATTAGTGGTCTATTTCTTGATTGACATTCTCTGGATAATATGATTGTGCAGCGAAAGTAAGGAGGCTATATGACATTGCAAATGTGCTGTCTTCTCTGAAACTTATTGAAAAGGTAACCAATCTTAACAAATACTTACTGAAGAATGAAAGGAATCATGTTAGCTTTTGTTACTCAAGCACTAATACAATTATCTTTAAGTTCTGATTTTTATTGAATGATGTGCAGACCCATACCGCTGATACAAGGAAACCTGCATTCAGGTGGTTAGGCTTGAGAGGCAAATCAGAGAATGGATCAGGTGATCATTTGGCTCTTTTTGAGTCTAGGAAGAGGACATTTGGGGCTGATATCACAAACATAGGTTTCAAAAGAAACAAAATGGATTCTTCAGTTGACGGGGATAAAAGCCAGAATCTGAAGATGCAAAAACAAATAAAAGATGAAAATATGGTAACTGTCGCTGAGAGAGGCAATTTTGGCCAGGATTCACAGCAGAACTCGGGAAGTTTCCAGTTTGGCCCTTTTGCTCCTGTTAGCGTGGCCAAAGGTGGCAACTCTGAAGAGAAAGCGGCTCAGATCTATGATTGGGAGGGTCTTTCCTCTACTTTCCGTCCTCAATATCACAACCAAGGTACAACCTAATGCTTTAGTTAAACATACAGTGAAACAGTTTTGACCATAAGACATTTCAAGATCCAATTATTTGACGTTAGGTTCAGAAATACATGAGCAGCATGAAACAGCAAACACCTGTTTACATAAATAATCAGCTTTTCATTTCATGTTCCCTGGTGATATCATGCAATGAGTTGGACAGCTGAATCAGCTGATGACTCCGTTGTTCATTTATTTGAAAGCATGAAAATTGTCAACAGGCTAGTGTTTGGAGGTCTGCTAGTAAAGCTATACATCCAAGAAAAGCAAATAAGGGGTTTGATGAGGTCATATCTCTTTGTTTGTTCACTAAAGTTAGTTATTTGTTTTAAAATGCTGATATATCTGGATCCATTCCCATGAGGCCTCCATTGTTGAGCAATCCTTTTGTTCATCTGGCTTTTCCATTCTTTCGCTCAATTTTCCTTTGGCCTTTTCATTAACTTGCGAGTTAGGTTCTGTGTTCTTGTTAATTTTTGGAGTGCTTCCTCTGAGATGCCTTCGTGTTGATTGCTAGTCAGTTAAATCTTTTATTTTGATATGCCTTATCATCCAATTGAATCTTTGGAACCAAGTGTGTGGAAATATGAAAAGGTCATGTGCTAGTAATTTTTGCAGCTTTGAGAGATCTCTTTTCTCATTACACGGAAGCATGGAAATCATGGTACACTGAAGTTGCTGGGAAGAAACCATTACACATCTCCTAATTTTGGATACTTTGCGTCTCTGCTTTTTGCTTGACCAGTACAGCATTGGACTCTCTCCATTCTTCTTTTTGTACTTTTTAGGGCAGAAGAAATGGCTTCAGGTTGGATGCATATTCCCCAGTGCACCATCTTAGCATGGCCAAACAATGTTCTTTATCTGATTTATCGAAGCAAATGAATTTGAATATATGGTCTTCCGTAGGTTAACTAGCTACAAAAGTTGTCTTCTGTTGTGCAACATATCATTTTCTACACGGGACAGCAGCCGTAGCGCAATACTTTACATATTGTTTTTAATCTAGAGCTTGTTCTGCATCTCCTGGCTCTTTCAATATTCTTATGATGCTGGACGGTATAAAAGACGACATTACAGATAAAGGCTCTGCAAATGTGCCTACACCATGTCGTGATAAAAATAGAATGAAATTGAAGGGTGTCACTTTGTTTTGGTGAATGAGCAAGGCATGCATTTATCTGATGTGAACTTGGATGTCGTTTCCTCGAACTTCTATATCTCGTCCCATCTAGCCTCTGGTAAATTGCATTTGACTAAACCGCATTTTTTTCCTCGTCCCATCTACACATTCTATCTTCTTTTTTCCTATTTGGTTCCCAGCGATTGAATATGAAGAAAACGAATGAATAGAAATCCAAAACTGCGTGAGATCTGCAGAACTGGCTAACAAGGCAAATGCTTTTTTGTGCCTGCTACGAACACCCTGATGTCTTACTACATGAAGCAATCTTACTTTGGGCAACAATGGCGAATGGAATATCGTAATTGCGCTATAATTTATGAGAGAAATCTGCAAGCATTACTTATATTTTTCTCATCTACCTTGCAGTTGCATAGACTGCCATATTTGAATTTCATTTCTATTGCTCTTGGGTACAATATGTATGCCCAAAGCCACAATTTACCACAGTTAAACTGGGTAAAAATCATCTTTTTATAATTTGCATACCAAGATAGTTGTTGCTTCAATGGAGTGAATTGTACTGAAAATATTTCTATCCATATTTATGGTCTTTTGCACCATTAAACTATCGAACTCACAATCTTTGACAGGAGAGGTGTCAAACAGCTACAAATCGAATTTCTTATTATTGTAATTTGCAAAATATCAATTTGCAACTTGGTACTAAACTGTTTAAAAATATTGGATTCCCAGTGTAAGAGAGATGGCAGAAATTGACATTGAAGCTATCCAGGTCTACTACAAAATAATTTCCTCCTGAACACTGACATTGAGTGTCTTGTTTGGGAGGACAATGCTGTTAACCACCACTACCTCATCTTCAACAGTAACAGCTTCGCCTGGGTCAAGGAAAAGAACACTGAGATTGTGCAGAGAAATGATTTGTCCCTAAAAAATGGGATGTACCGGCAAAGGGAAATAGGGTTAATGTATAAAGGAAAGTACCAAGGATTGTAATCCCAAGCTTGGCATTGTATTCCCCTTCAGCCTGTAATCATTTCGTTAAACATAATAAATCCTACCATGGATTAGAGGGGAAGTAAGCAGATTAAGGAGCACACAGCCACACGCTGATGGTGATAATAAAAAATAAACAGATATATCATATCAGACAACTTTGGACAAGAAAGAGAGGAGGTTTCAGAGAATGATTGGAAGCCAACAAGAAGAGACGTGAAAAAAGAAAATAGCACAATGGTAAAATTAAGTGCGCAGATATCACAACGGTATTACAGATATTGAGAAACATTTTGCAATATGATAATGTCTTCCTTTGTTACATTCTTGGGATACTGATCGAAGAAAAGAACATTGGGAAAGTAGCAGATATAAGGGGCGCTCGTCCAAACTAAAATATAACATAGACAACTTGCCTGGACACGGGACCATCTCCCAATGGAAGACTTCCACCCAACTATTGAATGAATGACAACTGCATTTTCCTGAGAAATGAAACAAGCATACCATCAAGTTGGAGATATCTTAGGTGGCCCCTCCACAACCCCACCCTAAAAAATATGAAATCGTAAACTTATCCATTGTAAATCCCTTAAATTCAGTTTCCTACCATGACTTCAACATCGTCTAGGATGATACAACTGATGAGTCTTGCACCTGGTCCTATACGAGCATTTGCAGATATAGAGACATTGGGACCAATCTGTTTCATCACATTCCACAAACAGTCGATACCATAGGTGAATTAGATGAAAGGAAAGAGCGTACATAAAGCAGGAACAGTAATGGCATAGAAACAAACAGATCATAAAAACTGATGTAGCAGTACGTTTTTCATGCTTGACCAATTAGTTTTTATTTGCGAGACCCACAGTTTTACCACTTATTATTTCCACATCAATTTGTATTTAGTTTTAGTATGATTTGTTTGTTTGTAGATCATTTTCCACTCCAACAGGAAAAGAGTATGCCAACAAAATTCATTTTGCATCATCATAGATGATAACATTTTTTAAGGTGATCTAGAGGCATACACATCTAATTCTCATAACCTAGTCAACCCTAAATGGATTTGACAAAATGAATACTAATAAGCATTCAACGGATAAAAAATAAAAAAATAAAAAAAGAAAGAAAAAGGAAAAAAGAGAGTACTTACTAACTTATAAACAAAAATGAAAAAGAGGCCCCAACTAAACATTATACTAAAAGGATTGCATTGGTCAACAGTACCTAATATGTACCCATAGATCCATTATCATAAAGATGAAAAAATTACCTTAGCAGTTGGATGTACTTTTGCTGATGGATGTATATAAACATCACCAACAATGACAGCATTCTTTGAGCCATCACCACCAGCCAAAAGATGGGGTGAGGTGAACCGGAATTGAGCAAGATATAAACCAGAACACTTTAGAGACATTCTGCATATGGATTTGGTAAAAATCACATAAGGTAACTGGTTAAAGATGGAAAAGAAGATACTAACATAATATGTAAAGATTGGCCTACCCAGGAGTTTTAATTTGTTCCCAGAAGTCCATGGTCTCATATGTATATAGCTGCTTTTTTCCTGCAAGGGGTGACAGGATATCCTGATCCAATCTTACAAAATCTGTTGGAAGACTCCTGTTAAGGGAACTTGCATCAGGGCAGGAAGTCGTGGTAAATATTGGGGCGTGTTCAGTAATGGAGTAATGCTCTAGTTTTCCCAAAAAAAAAAAAAAAAAAAGAACATGGAAAAGAAGTTTGTTTAAATACAAAATTTTACACAACGGAAAAAGGAAAAGCATTTTTCTAATTTTCCAACTTAAAGCCTATACCTTGGAGAACCTCTCATGTTCTCCAAAATTTTCCAACTTACAAAGAGCGTACAGAAAACAAGCTTATAAAAAATTTTCCAACTAAATGATCTTTTTTGGACAAAAATGTCCTCATCACTTTCAGGTTATGTCAATTATATCCTAAATACATACTCTAAACTTTCCATGTATTGTAAACTAAGCAGCCCAACCACCACACTGACTTCTTCTGCTCTCTCTCCTCATCTCCAATCTCTTCCTCTATCTATCCATGGATCTGATCTGATGGTCAGGTTTGAGTGGCATTTTGACGAGAAAACAAAGGTTGACTTGGTGAGATAGATGATGGGTGGAGCCACACCAGCCTTATTGCTTCATGCAATTTAGTCACTACTTTGGTCTCTGACCATTCTTGTACAAACAGTTCTGCCTTGACCTCTCAATTTTTAATATATCATTCGTCTTTAGCAAATATATATATATATATATTGTGTGTGATGATGGGTTATGCAGATTGGGGCTTATGGTAATAGTAATGGAAGTGGATCTTCATCCACCTCTCAATTTGCTGCCTAGTTCACATGTTTGAATCTTGATTAATCATCTTGGAATGATTATAATCGATGCTATTTGGGTTTTCAGTGATTTTGATGAAGTGTGTTCATACTCCACTGGTGTTAAGAGATTTTTTTTTTTTTTTTTTGGTGGTTTTAAGTTTGGATGCAGTCTTGAAAAATGGCAAAACCTTGGTTAAAATCAATCTAATTCAGATGAGTTAACTCAGTTTGAGTATTCTGGAAAATAATTAATTTGAAAACAATTATGTTTTCTAAGTTCAAAAAAAAAAACCTGAAACTTTGAGAAATGAACATGTTCTCTAGTTTTCTATTAGAAAAAGAAAAATGTTTATGTTACTAAACAGCCCCTTGGGTTCTATCAAATCCATATCAAGCAATTAAAACTTTATATACCAAGTTGAGAAAGAAAATAATAATAAGACAGACCTTTGTTAAAATTATCAAGGACTCCCCCAGAATAGTAGTATATATACTCGAGGATGATTATTGCAACATAAACAATACAAGTTCATATTACCACAGTGAATCTCTATTCAAATTGACTTGTACAAATTGAATTTTCTTGTTATACTCAAGACTTGTTGACTACTTGAGTCTTCTAACAAAATCAAAATGCAGTTGCCAAATCCCATGGTAGTAAATAATCAATCATGACAAAAGAACATGCTCAAACACACTCTCCCAATCACTCATTTACATAGATACGCAAACAAATACATGATTAGTGTCATGCATCAGTCTAAATTTTACTCAATTCAACAACTATAGAGCGGCCCAAGAAAGTAAAAAAGAAAATAAACCCACTCTTAGTCCATTACACAAGCATTGCAATTGATGGTTTTCAAACCAGTGAGTTACTGCAAATGCACATGCATCTTATGGATTCAAATAGCCCAGTTAAGAGGTTCTTTATGTGTAACCAAATTGACAGAGTCAAGAACAGGTCAACTATATTTTCAAATCCAATTGCAAACTTCAATAAGTAAAATAATGTGGTATGTTAAATGAAGAACAAATAATAAAACATTTGTTGAACTTCATTTCAATAAATTTATCATAATAGTTTAAAGTGAAATTATACTAGCAATGCTCAACCTAGAGTCAGTAATTCCTAGATTGAAGGATGAAAAAGTAAGGAAAGTCCAAACCATGAGTGAGGACATACCTTGTAGCTGATTGGAGGGCTTCGAAGCTGGAAACTCGTCTCAGATTGGCTGCAAATGGTAAAACAGAGTTCAGATTTTTAACAAGCAATACTCAAACTATCCATAGTTACAGAGAATGCTATCATAATCTAAAAAACAAGCCAGGATTTGATGCAGATTTTCATGATGGATTGTGAAACCCTCGTTTAATGCTGATGCAGGCTAAACAGGCTACACTAGTATATTCTAGTTTAAGAAAATAACCACAGAATTCTGGAACTTCTACCAGCAGCCTACAGGCAAAACACCATATTGCATACCTCTGTCTTTCCGTTGAGAAGAAACATCCTGGATGGCTGTGAATATTTCTGGTGTAAACACATAAACACCGCAATTTATCCGGTCACTTACCTGTATCAAACATCAAAACAAATGAATATAAAGAGGAAAAAAAAGGCTAATGGAAGTGAACAGTAGTAAATAGTAACAGACATTAACCAAAGAACTTGTAGCCCAATGGTAGTGGTCTCTTCTAACAAGAGGTCACAAGTTCAAATCCTAGCAGATTAGTTTTCCTGGGAGCCTTGGGTGTGTTAGTTAAAAAAAATATAACAGACATCACCATTCAATTCACTGAAATTTTAAGCCTTTTGAACTTCAATAAAAGTTGATGTACTACAATGAAGTATTTAAAAAAAAAAAAAAACAAAAAGAAAGAAAAGGAGAAATTTTTGCTTTCAACCCTATGCAAAAACTTCTTACTTTTAAATGCAAAAGTAAGCTTTTCAAATTTCAATGACTATGCATTCAGATTATTATTTTTTTCTTGTGGTATTCAGAAAATATGTATCGGTTTTACTTCACCAAAAAAAAAAAAAAAAAAAAATAATAATAAGAAAAAAAAAAGCAACCAGAAAATATTGTCTCATAAAAAGCAAAAGGTAAAAAAGTTGAACCAGATCCATCTTTAATCAATCATTTGAGCAATAGCGAAAGCACTGAAATTCCCTAAATATTAAGAGTATATCTGAACTTGAACTTACAAAAGTTTCGGGCTTCTCTGTATAATGCAACAACTCATTGGTGTCAGGATCAGCTACCAATTCCCCAAACTGGCTGGCTGACTCAGCAGAGACCTGTATGCAGAAAACAATAATGAAGCAAAAACATCTTGCAGACAAACAGTCATCCTACTGCTGATATATCAAACTCTGAAAATTTTCCCAGGTTATAAACTTTTGCATTCAATTAACCTTGATTACGAGGATAGTTCCCATCCCACCATATGTTCTGTGGGCCTCTGCAAACATTGTAGGTGAAATACGGCAATTAGTGCTTCTGCTACATAAATATAAACAATTAACTGTAGACAAAAGAAACTTAGCTAAAAAATAATAACCTTGCAACATTAAAAAAATATTTATTGAACTCAATATAATTTGACAATATCTAAAATTAATGGCTCGATGAGGATGTATCTGATATTCTGAAGAAGAATTTACGAACAAGTTCAAACAAATTCAAGAAGTTAAGAAGAATCCAATTTGGCTAAGTAGATTACCAAGCATTTCTGGGAGTGGAAAACTGCAGCAAACATCACAATTCAACAGGAAGATATGGGACTGCAAAAAGATAACCAAGCATCAGTACTAAATTTTGGAGTACAAGACATCCATCTGTATCTCCAAAAAATGCTAGCACCTACACACGTTTACATAAGAACATGCACAGAAAATATTGTGAAATAAGAGATAGATGTGCATGCCAATAGAAAAGTTTAGGCTGAGATAAAAACCGGGCTGTCTTCCATGATTAGATCTCTGAAGTTATAAAGCCCACCAGCAGAACCATGTGGCTTGTCTTCCCGTAAATATCTACAAGCACAGATTTTATCATTATAAAAAAAAAAAAAAAAACCGAGAACTATGGAATCAGAAGCAAATAAACAAGACCATTAAATCACTTTACCTTACAGGAACTTTCAGCTCATTGGAGATTGAGGAAACATACAAAGCAAACTCTCGTTCCTCGTAGAAACCAACAAGATAAATCTGTGCCAAGTTTGGAATCTGAAATAGAAAAAGCAATCTGAATGACTCAACGATCTGCTATGATAACTAGGAAACAATCAAACTCGAAATCAAACTAATAAATTGAATCATTGCTTTAAGAATCAAATAAATACCCTTTTACAAGCAGAGATTGGATGGTGAACCATTGGTTGTCCAGCTAAAGGGAAAAGAGGCTTTGGAATATTCAATGACAATGGCCTGAATCTAGTACCTGAAACATTTCACATCCCGACTAATCGAATGAAGAAAAATCAAAGACACTAAGAACTGGGTTTCATTATTTGCACTAAAAGAATCAAAATTTCAACAAAAATAGATAAAATCAGAAGAAGCCAGCAAAAGGGTCCGATCATTTAATCATAAAAATGATCATTAAGTTGCATTGTATGCAATCAAAATTGAGAATTCCCAGATTGAGCAACTGAATACAAAAAAGAAAAAGAGGAAGATACCTTTAGTAGGTCCACCAACCATGATGACAGCAACAACTCTCTCCCCAGAGCTACCCATATCTTCTTCAACCAAAACAACAATCCCAGATCTCAAATTCCTCAATAACTCCTGTCTATTTATTTATTTTATGTATGTGTAAACAGACTATACTCAATTGTACAGCAACAACAACATTAAAAACATGTCACCATTTAATCCAACACAGTAATGATAAATAGACCAAAAATATCTTGCTACTTTTTGGCAACAGGTGGGTAAAGGATTTTTGAAGATCTAGTGCAGAAGAGTGTGAATAAAAAAAAAAAAATACGCGCAAAGTAAAGAACACTCCCTAGCTACCGATAAGTACTTCTTTTAGAGTTGTTAAAGGAAAGGAAATAAGCAGGGAACGAAGTTTCCTGGAAATGGACAAATACCGCTACTGCTACAACTAGTGGTCCGTGTCTTTTAAGTTTTGGTTGTGTTGTATCTCTGCTTTTTGGTGAAAGATAGAGACATAGAGGGACATCTCACCTAGGTGGCCCAAGGACAATTGATTTTGGCCCACTCTTCTAAACTACCACATGTTGACAACTAGACGAGGATGCTCCCCATTTTTTTAACTATTACTAATTAATGGACTTGAAGCATGGAGATTTTAATATAGAGAAGTTCCCGTGTTTTCTTTTCGATTTTAATATTAAGCTGAAAAAAATAATATTTCAATCCAAATTTACATAATTATTTTTTCATTTTGAAAATACTTGTGAGCTATATAAGAATATAACCAAAAAAAAAAAAAAAATTGCTCCATTTTTTTTAAGAAATAAAAAAGTTCAAAATAACTAAACCATTAATATATTTTTTTCAAAAAAAATTAAAATTATATGCTTTTATAGCTATATTGGCATAATTATGCCATTCAATCAAGCTTTTTCATCTAAATTGAGTAAATTATTTTTTTTGCTCTCAAATTGTCTTTGAGCTATACAAGCATATAATTCTAATTTTCCATAAATAAATAAATAAATAAAATATTTATTTTTTAAAATTTTAATGGTTTAGTAATTTTGAAAATTTTTATTTCTTAAAACATTTGACCAAATTTGAGAAAATATAATATTTTATCCTTATATAGTTTAGAGACAATTTTAGAATAAAAAATATAATCTTCTTAGTTTGAATGAAAAAAACTCGATTGAAAGACATTTTGAAGAATTAAATATTATATAAAATATCATAGACACAATTAGAAATGTAGAGACATAATAGAGACTTTTCTTCTTTTATATATATATATATATTTAAATTTGGAGCATTTTATAAATAGATTTTGGTCATGTCACCTATATATGAGTTTCTAATAAAAAAACTTGGCCATAAAAAATAAATTTGATAATTAGATAGCAAACATAATAAAGTCACTTATATATATATATATATTAGAAACATTATGTTATACGAGGACATATTAGTCATTAATCCTTATATTTATTAATATTTTTTAAGCAAAGAGTTACTAGCTTGAGAGTTTCTCCGAGTGGAAACTAAGTTCTTACATTTCAACCGTGATTCTAATGTTGTAATAAAGGACAATGAGTCTAAAAAAAAAGGTGAGTCGAGCTTATGTTGGCAAAACTTCATAGTGTATCATGCACATTGATGTTGAATATGCAACAATAATAAATTAATATTGAACTGATAAGATGGGGTTCAATAAACTTATTTGCATAATTTTTTTACAAGTCATATGGATTGATAATTGTAAAATTATTGGGTCTAGTTTCAATTTTGATATTGTTTCATTAAAAGTTGGCATGATAATTATAAAATTATTGGGTCTAATTTCAATTTTGATATTGTTTTATTAAAAGTTGGTATATTCATCATACGGTTTAATTGCATAAAACGTCCATTTACTATTGACATTTTCTTAGTGTGGCCCCTCTACTTTTTTTCTTATTCATTACCAACCTATAGTCTTAAATTTTTCTTAATGTGATCCCTCTCACTACATTCCGGTGATTCTTCCGATTGGTGATGACGGATGGTAAAAATCCCACGTGGTGTGACACATCAAATTAAAAATTGCCATGTGGCCCAAAAATTTTACATGCAAAATCTAAGAAAAAAGTTTTTACTTTTATATCAACTTTGTGCGTTGATACCGTAGGGAGGTTTGTGTTGTTTTAGCAAATAAGGGGTGGATTTACGGGTATGATTTATAAGCTGAAGCACTTTAGAACCCAAATGGAAAACCAAAAATTGGTTGAAGATTAGGATATTTAAAAACCCAAAAATGAAAACCCAAATGGAAACCCAAGAAAAAAATCTCTTTTCAAAACCTAAAAGAATCCATTTTCCCCCATAAAACTAGAGGATCCTCCTAAAATTCAATTTCTTCTTCCTCCTTCTCCTTATGTCAACTAATAATGTTATGATGATATCTCGGTTTGAATTGGGTATGTGGATGAAGATAATCATAGTAATCTTCTTCCATAATGCTTCTCTTGTTTTCCGATCCAAGAAATAGAGTGCTCCTTAGCTCTCCTCGACACGAAATCTTATTCCTCTTATTTCATTCTCTTTGTATTTCCACCCCACTCGATCACTTGTTGAAGCTCAAAAAACATATATGTGGTCGATAGCGAGTATGGATAGAAACTATTGAAGTTAGTATGGGTTGATCTTTTTAAAGAGAGTGATTGTCCAAAGATAACGAGTATGTTATGGTAGAAACTAAAGGAGTTGGTTGATGTGATTTCTAGTAGTAGTGTGAGTTTATGGAAGGACAAGGGTTTAGGTTTATGGTTGCAGAGGTATTTGATGGCAAAGGAAAAAGACTGCAATGGTGAACCTTGATGGTTATTGAGTAGTAGAAAGGAGTTGGGGGAGGGTCTACTTGGTTTGGTGTAAATGAAGAAGGATGGGGTCGATTGAGGCAAAAAAACTAGGTTTTATGGATTCGACGAGTGAGGGGTTAGGTTGTGGTTGTAAGTAGGAGCTTGGTTTTAGTATTGGTGAATTGTCTACTAGGTGTTTGATGAAAATCCTTTACGACCCCCATTTTGAATATCTCCTAAATGTAGTAGGGTTTGGTGGAGGAAGCTTATGTTGGTTTTGTTGGTGGTGAATCTTCTAATCTAAATGGAGAATCAAGAATGTAGATTAGTAAGTGGCAACTTTGTTTAGCTTAGCACAAGATAAAGATACCCTCTATTTCAAATTTTAAGAGACTCGTGATTTCTTTGGCTTAGAAGCTAGTTGGAGATAATTGTATTTTAATCACGAGCATTAAAATGCATAGATGAGTCAATTATCATTCTATTTTTCATTCTTTTGCTCTACTTCATCTTGTTCCCTCAATTTGTATTATGTTTTAATATTGAGTGCTTGGTGATCTATTGAGTGATATGTTTTGATATTCCTATCCTACATTATGTTTAGATAAATTTTATCTAGCATTGGAATAAATGACAGAGACATGCTAAAATCATTGTTCTAACGTTGTGTAATACATGCCAATTTTTACGAGATAAATTAGAACCTCTTATCTTTAAAAGAATAAAGAGTAAATTCTATCTTGAACACTTGAATGACAAATTTTTTTTTTCCAGATTTTGCATGTAAAATTTTTGGGCCACGTAGCAATTTTTAATTTGATGTGTTATGTCACATGGTAATTTTTTACCATTTGTCATCACCAATCGAAAGAATCACTAGATTTAAGTGAGAAGGGCCCTATTAAGAAAAATTGAAGAGTATAGGGAGGTGATGAATAAGAAAAAAAGTAAAGAGACCACATTAAGAAGATGTCGACGAGTAGAGGGGCATTTTATGTGATTAAACCTTCACCATACATTATTGATATCTTGTCTTTTAATGTTTATATGTTATGAGCACGAAATCATATCCCTCTAGGATGAGTCCAATGATTCACTCCTATTAGAGGTGGGTCCGATATTTTCTACTTTAATTAAAGGTAAATATAATTATTTCTCTTTATATAAAACTCAAAATTTCTCTTCTTTCTTTAGATTTTCACTAGTAAGTTGTAGCCCTTTTGTTTTTGGAAAAAAATTTAAATATTCAATATGCCTTTTTGATTGAATTTTTTTTTACCATAAAAAAAATTAATCAAAATATAGTTTATTAAAAAAATAATAATAAAAAAAACACTCAAAGCTATATGATATTGGACATTTTTTTATGCTCATGAGATTGACTATGTGTTATTTTTTTAATTATTATTGTTAATGTTGTAAAATAATTTTATGGATGTGATATGAGCTCATCATCCTTTTTTATTAATTGTTGAAATTAAGAAGCAAAAGAAGAGAAGATGAAGATGAAGAAGAAAAATTGAGTTTGAACTCTCTTTTGAGAGATAGAGTGAAATACGAGAGAGAGAGAGGGAGAGGGAGAGAGGGAAAAGTAATTTTTTAATTTTAATTCTTCTATAGATACCAAATAATTGTTTACACATACTATAAATATAGGAGCTGATTTATTCTAACCATAGAAAGGAAATTACAAACTAACTATTCTAATTAAAATGAATAACCGGCTTTCGGTTTCAACTAACTTAATTAACCAACCATTTTCTTTCTTTATACTCCCCTTCAAGATGAACAATAAAGATGTTAATGATGTTCATCTTATTCGAAGTAACTTGAACTAGCCCGAATGTAAGATCTTTGTAAACATATCTACAATCTATAGATGTGTAAGCAAAAATTCTAGTTTAATGACTTATGTGATAACCTTTTCTCTCACATAATGGTAGTCAATCTCTTTGTATTTTGTCCTTTCGTAAAACACTCGGATTTTTACAAATATGTAGAGCTAAAATGTTATCACAATGAAGCTTGACTAGTTGATCATTTAAATATCCAAAATCTAACGAGTAGAGACAATAACCATATGACTTTACATGTTATGGCAACCATGGATCTATACTTTACTTCGTTGAACTTCTAGCAACCAAAGATTGCTTCTTTGATTTCTAGCTTACCAATGAATTCCCTAAAAAACATAAAAACCTATAACTAATCTTCTTGAATGCGGGTGTCCCGCCCAATTACTATCCGAATATGCTTATTAGATATTGCTTCGAATCGGTTGAGAATAGTAAGCCTTGCCTCGAAGCATTTTTTGGATACCTTAATACTCTGTAAGTAGCTTGTATGTGAATGATAGTTAGTTTATCAAG